ATACATACATACATACATACATACATACATACATACATACTTCCTCATCTCGCAACATAACTTGTATCGAAATTGACAAAATACTTTATTCCACATTACTCATTCACCTTTCTCGGTTACAAAAAAAGATCGTTCGACTTATTACATTCTCTGATTTCCTCGTTCACTCTGAACCACTGTTCCGACAACTTGATACCTTTGAGCTAATAAATTAAATACTCTTGCCTTTTCATTTTTTGAGATCAAAAAATTGTGATATCAGTAATTGATACAACCAACTGGCTCATCGGTATCCAACAAAATCGTCCACTCTTGGCAAAGTTCATAACATATGTATCCGTCAAATACTGGAACACTCTTCCACCATTTATTATACATCAACATAATAAATATCCTTCAAATCCAATCTGAAACAATTTCTTATTTTATCTTAATTAGTATTAATTAATTAATTAATTAATTTATTTATTTATTTATTTATTTATTTATTTATTAGTTTACTTATTTGTTAATTAATTAATTTATTAATTTATTGCAGCTACATAATTTATTTAATTATAATTATATTTTTATTACCATTATGTAATTTAATTTAATCATACAAATATATTATTATTATTATTATTATTATTATTATTATTATTATTATTATTATTATTATTATTATTATTATTATTATTATTATTATTATTATTTTATTTCCATTTCTCTAAAGAAATATACCCCACTAACCTGGGGGAACAGGTTACAATGCGAAAGTTACAGGCGTGACTTTAATCGCCTCAATAAAATAAAGTATTATATATATATACACATACACACACATATACAACTCATCTATTGGAGAACTCACACTAACAAATTATATCTAATCTGAAAATGTGTATACAAATCTTGCAATACTTTGGATGATTTCATGGTTATCCTGAGAAAAAATATATGTAAGTTTACGGATAGGCGAAAAGAACTCGAATTGTGGTTCAATGCGGTTAATTTGACCAAAACGCGGTTTTCGAATATGGTTATATGCTGGACAAACTACCAGAAAATGAGTTTCATCTTCAACAGCATCTATACATATTTGGCAGGTTCTATTTTCCACTGGAGTTCCATAATATCTACCGGTCTCAATGTGTAACTTATGATTAGAGCACCGGAGTTTAGTTAAAGCTTGTCTGTACAGGGGAACACGAACGATATAACTTTAAATGGTTATATATTTCTTGTGTAAGGGCCATGGACAAGATTAGCTCGTGTTCATGGTCCTCATCAAGCAGTATAATCACTATCTTCACTGATCATATTCTTCATTTGATTTAGTTATTTATATTTATTGTTAATATGTCGTTTCTGATGAAAGTAAATAAATACAAATAAGACCAGCTCGAAAGGCCATTAGTGAACCGCGACGAGAATGGATGGGTTATTTTGACTATACTGTCTATAAAAACACAGATAAGTTTTTAATCCGTTTCTTTAAATTTTAGTCAAGTTGTTCTCCGTGCGTATATGTTTTATGCCGACAGTGACCGATGACAGAGACACGGAAATAAATGCCACTCTAGAGGGCCTCTGTTTGAGAGTTGTTTCAAGGTAGTTCCTGTGAATTTCACTCTCCTGATTTGTAATTCCACAGAGTGTTACATCATGTAAACAGATATACTTTGTTTGTTGGATACAGGTACAGGTGGGATGCTGAATTATTCGAGTTACGAACATCGAGAACAACAATTTATGTTGCCCGTAACTCGCATTAAGTTCAAGATATAATTTGGGCGCGATTTAGTAAAAGTGGGTGTGGTTTCAAAAATATGAGGTGGTCATTTTTGTCGGTGTTCCTAACTCGATGTCACTTAACTTGATTAATTCTTAAACTCAGAACTGGCACGTACCCGACCCGGTCAGTCTAACCACGTGTTTTCGGCGTGATTGCAGAATAATGGTAACTAAAGGTCTGCTCTATTGTAAGAACACAGTAACCTTGTCACAGTACGCGCATTTGGGGTCAACTTGAGAGAGTTGAAGCTATTTTGTCTGTTACCAGTCGCCTTCGCACAGCACCTCATTTATATGAACATGACAGAGACTATCAAGTTAACCCCTCCATTTGAAAAGACTTACTACTACGATGGGAGAAAGGAGAGGTTGATGCCAACCTGCATGAATAATGAAAGCATACACGCGTTGAAAGATTTTGAAGTCAGGGATGATGATGTATTCATTGTAACATACCCAAAATCAGGTAAGTACAAATGCCGGCCAGGTGCATCGAGGGGCATAGTGGCGAAATGTTCGGTGTACTAGTTGTTGGAGTATGACCGGAAATGACATTCACCGCAATACAGCGATTGTTTTAGGCATGCTGGTTAGTAGATACACGTTAAACCGCAGGGAGCCCAGGAACTATGATCAACTGTATGCAGTCTCTATGAGGGGGGTACCGGCTGGTATCTAGTGTAAGAAATAGACAAGGGATGAAGGCTCCAGCCAGCTTACATTTTTCGAAAAAAACAGCCAAACAGGATAAAAAAATAAAATCTAAAAAAATACCAGGCTGCAGAATATTAGTTGTTCTTTCAAATTTCGCCAAAGCCTTACCTATATTTTACCTATATATGCAGAATAAATCAAGAAAACTACACACATTTACTCAATTTATGAATAATTAACGACCCGAACCCGGGACACAGTTGGAGGCCTGTTCAGAATGTGTCAACAATTAATCATAAGACTGGTTACGAACCTCACCGAGGTTACGATTCGGTTAGCCTCGCTCAACTGGTTCGTAACCAGTCTTGTGATTGGTTCTTGACAAATTCTGAACAGGCCACGCCTTCAACTGTGCCATGCGTTCGGGCAAACCGTTAATTATTCATAAATAGAGTCAATCTTTAATGAATTGTTGTGTTGTAATGTGACGGCAGAGAGTACTCAAAACTGCAGTTTACACACGATAACTAAGTTCTATGTGGAACGCCCAAAATTGTCACGGTTACTAGCGAGAAGGCCCAATGCTAATGGTTTGAATCGGCGCGTTTAAATCTGACACCAACATTAAAAGTTCATTCAGTTGAATGGTTAATCGGTTTGCTGATTGTTTTGCAATGTACGTTTACGAAAAAAAATATGTCGCCCGATGTAATTCTATTGTACTACTGTATTCATTTTCAGTAATGGGATAGTTTGCAAATTGTAATTGTACAAATTAAACAGCTGTGACTTG